TTTAAACGATAACAATCGTGTTACATAGAACATAGAACAACTATTAAAAATCAACTTATTTAGGGTAAACATTTGTTATATATTTTGTAAAAAAAAAATTTAAAAAATAATTTGTTTTTTATAGGTAATATAAAAAATCAAAATTCATTGATCTTGAGATAACAGACTATATTCTAAACTCTATTAAAATGTAATGCACTTATACTTTTTGAAAAAAATATTTTTTTTATTTATTAATTAAACCCAAAAAGAATATACATTCCATAACAGGTTTATTGCATAATAATTATTATAATTATAATTATGCAATAAAAAAGTTTGTTCTACCGACTTTTATGACTGTGCGTAATTAATGCTTGTTAAATACCCTTAAAAAAATGTAATGCTCTCATGCTTTTCTAAAAAAATGTTCTGTTAACTTCAAAAAAGTTAATATTCTGTAAATGCCTAAAATATTACTTAGATGACGACTTCATATTTATATAGCCAGCCAATTAAGTGCTTTTTCTATGTTTTTTTACCTAAATCATTTTTAACAACCCTTAACATTTACCTAAAAAAGATTCGTATAATGCCTAGTAGGCATTGCCTACAGTAGGTAGTAGGTACATATATGTACATACATCTATATGTACATATATGTACTTATCCATCGATATACATATGTACATATAAATATTTATTAATTTAATTTGTGCATTTGATTAATATTTTTAAAAATTAGCAGAAATTAACAGAAATCTGCAAACTTTCTTGCAGAGGATCCATTTTTTTCGAAAAGTATGGGAGCATTAAATTTTTTTAATTTAAATTTTAAATTAGCATTAATTAAGCACGAAATTATGCCATACAAAAATATTAATTGCTCTGCCAACATAAGCTCTAGACTAGATCGAATAGTAAAAAAATATTGAAAACTTATTACTTTATAACAATAAAGCTGTACAATTTCTTTTAAAAATAATTCTCCTTGAGCATAAATAAAATAAATAATATTTTTTGTTTTTTAAGGGAAATTTTAAAACAGTCTTTAATAAAAACAAATTTTAATATACTTGAATAAGTTTTATAATTTTATCTTTAATGGTTTGAATTAACAAACCTATTAACAAATGATTAAATGTATGGCACGCCGTTTTACTTTTTAATGACATCAAAAAATTAACTCAAAACAAAAATGATCAAAATTAAAAATTGCCTAGAAAATATAAACGTTCATAAAAATTACTAAAATAAATTTAATTATAAATTAAAATCTACCAATTTATTTTTTGGTGTATTGGATAAGTTTCCATATATATTTACATCATTCTGGTGTGATCTATATTTTTAAGCCTCAGTTTTTATTGTATGAATATTTTTTTTCTATTTAAAAAAGGTGCTTATATGTAAATAATAATATTTCATTTATTAATTTAAAATTAAGTTAAAGTAGAATATTTATTTTGGAATAAAAATTAGACAAGATTTAAATCTGTAAGCGCAAGGCGAATTTTCTCGATGAATTAAAATGTTGGTCAACACTCGTAAACAGAATTTTAATTTGGCGCTAGTGCATAGTGCGGTTGTGTTACGTACTACTGCCACGAAGCGAAACTACATAACGTCGAAGGTACATGAGCTCGAAAATAAATTAGGCAACAGTGCAGTCCAAAATTTTCAGTGATATCAATAGCTTTTTTGTAATGTATATCGACATGATAATGATTATTAAACTATGTAAGGGGTGCATTCCAACAAGACTGCCCTGCTGGCTAACCTCACTTTATACGATATAATTTAGATATGGACTCTCCTAATTAATTAATTGTGGTTCATTATTTGCTTGGTTGTCTATACAATAGGATTTCTCGCAGAAGAAGATATTTATATAATTACCAGAATTGTCCTACTCGTTGTCCGAGCAGACTACCTGTACAGTAATAAGCATAGAAAAAGAATATAATAAATAATCCACAAACTTAACATGAATGTAATTAATGGTGGATTGAAAATATTGTATTGTTTTTTATCTGTTACCAATATTTTGGTAAAAAGGATTTTCTTTATTTTTATTTCAATAAATTAGGTAAGAAATTAAGAAAAGCAAAACAGGTAAGTAAATACAATGGCAGCACTGAATTTATATGCACCGTTGCCTAATTTATTTTTGAGCTTATGTACCTTAGACGTTATGTGATTTCGTTTGGTGGCAGTAGTACGTAACACAACCGCACTATGCACTAGCGCCAAACTAAAATTCTGTTAACCAAAATTTTAATTCAGCGAATTTTTCAGTCAGAAAATTCGAGGTACATAATATTTATTTCAAACAATAAAAATAAGGAATTATAATTTTGTCACATACAAGTAGCATTGAATTTATTATCTAAAAAAATAATCGGATTAAAAGAAATATGGCAGAAAGATTCTTAAATGAAAATTCGTATTGCTAGATTTAAATAACATAATAATTAGGTAATAACAACTATACCACAACTTTATTCCCGTATAAAAATTGTTTCAAAGTGTTTTAAACAACAAAATTATTCGTATTAAAAGTAAATTTTTTTAAAATAACAATAAAAATAAAATTGTATTTAATTCTTATTAGTCAAATAAAATTTTCATTCATTAATTAATTAAACATTTAAATATTAAAACAAATATTTCGTGCAAAATATTTGTGTGTCGAATAAGAAACTTTATCTCAACCCAAATTTTAATTCATCGAATTTTTTAGTCAGAAAATACGCCATTCAGTTCCAGAATTGAAATTACTTTAATTCTTATTCTGTGCTTAAAATTGTGTAGGTACTTAATATACAAAGACATCATACAATTTTTACTTTAAAATGTTCAGTCAATTTTTAAAAACGCAACTTGAATTGATATTTAGCTTTAATAAACATGACATTAAAAAGTAAAACGGCGTGCCATATTAAATGAAAATAGCTGTTTTTAATTGAAACATGTTTAAAATAATTGCAAAAATAAAAATATACACAATAATATTATACCTATACTCAAAAATTATATTCATTTAAGGGGTTACATACATTTGTGCTGGGTCAAAAAATCGATTTTTTATTGAATATTCTTACAATATATACTTTTAAGAATATGTACTTAAAATTTCATTAAGATCGGAGCACTAGAACTTATGTTATAGAAATTTATAGCGCGCTACCTCACAAACATTTAAAGGCAAATTAAATAATAATAATAATAATCGTCTTTATTTTTTAGTAAAATATTACAATAATATTATTAAATACTTTACATAAAGTGGCACACAATGGCGAAGTTTAGCCCAAGGCTACTCTTACACTTAACCAAGTGTGATATTATAATTGGTGTTTAATAAGACTAGAAAATAAAATAAATAAGAAATAGCAACAACTTCAAACTTCAAACGCGTTTATCTCGGAATTTGTACCCTCGAAAATCGGTTATTTTGGGAAAATCACCGCCATTTGCGTGAACATTTTTTTATACAAACCCCTTCGTTCACGAAGGGGGTGATATTATATATATAACATATATGTTCTAATATGGATTTTTTTTCATTAAGATCTGTTTGGCGGTTTTTGATATTTTATGCTCACCGCAAAGCTCGAAAAAAAGACGTTTCGGGGCAAGGGCTGTATTTTCCACAATTTTCCATATTTTAGCAAAAATTTTTTTTACAAATACTTCGAAACATACCCTATTTGATGCTTTATAGTTTGTTTCAATATAATTATTATTATTTACCAATAAAAAATCACCAAAAAACGTTAATTTTTACGAGCTCATATATATGTAAGGTAACCCCCTTAAATCAAAAATGTAAAGAAAATTAAAATATTCCCAAGGATTAAATGATTTTAAAGAGGTAGAAGTAATATATCACCATTGAGCTGCTGGTAAGACTTAGGTAATATTATGGGAGAATTCTTAAATAATAACACCGTTGTCTTTGGCAAAAATTGCTTGAGAAACGCTACGTCTAGCACTATTAGTGGTTAAACCGCACATAGAATTTAGACCAATTATTTCAAACTATTATGATCACGCATGGGATCCAATATTTTTATATTGTTTTACTACGCATATATAATATTATAATTAATTACATAAGCATTGGCCATTAAATTCTAATTAATTTATAGAAATAGGCCATAAATTGGAATTTTTTGTTTTTATAAATTATTTGATATTTTTAATTACTTCCTGAGTAAGGTAGTTTACCTTACAAAAATTATTTAGGTAAAAAAGTATTAGGTATTTAAGAATAAATACATAAAGTAAACAAAAGTTAAATACTGCATAACATATTTTGTTTTAAGTGGTGTTAAATATAATTTTAAATGGTATGTACAATTTAAACTATTTATTTTCAATAAAAATAACTTTATTATGAAGCATGTATAGTATACTCAGTCATATAATAAAAAAGTACAATTACATAAAGCATTTGTATAACACATAGATAATTTACATTGGTTTAATATTTAATATTCTTATCCCAAAATAAAACCATAAACTAATTTGATTTTTTTTAGAAATATACCTAAATAGAATTTCCTTATTTTTTAAATATACAACTATTTATTAACCATAGCTTTGAAACATTTATTTTAATATTAGTTATTCTTTTAGAACATTGTTTAACTAAATTACGAATACTGCATATCAGTCTGTATAAATATTTAAACTAGTAGCTTCTGAGAAATTTAAAAAAAAAATTGCACAATAATTAATAATAAATAAATATATAAAATCAATGTACTACTTAAAAAATATTATTTAAATATAAAGTGACTATTTTTTATTGCTAATTAAATACTATATTAAAAGTAATCTTTTGTGAAAAGCAATGGTATTGTGAAACTTAAATAAACACTTAATGTGTGGAAGAGCTTTATTTAACACAAAGTTGTGTGGGAAAAAATTAGAGATTTTAACCAAGGTAGTTTCTATTAAATTACAAGAATAGAAAAAATAATTAAAAATTTGATTGAAATAGACAAGTTTACCAATATTATGCTAAAAATTGTTTATCATAATTTGTAAAATGTATGTACCTATTACTTAGTAGATATAGGAACTTAGTTTTGAATAAAAAATGCCTTAAATAAATAATAGGTGCAAAGTATGTAATTAATATATCTTTTGGAAGAGCTTTGCCTAACCTAAGTGGGGTTTATAAACTAAAATGAATAACTTTTGAAAGTGATTATAAAAATTGCCCTTGATTGTGTATGTTATGAAGTTGGACAAAATGAGAGTTTAGGTTTGCAGTTATTGGTATAACTTGAGTTGCATCAAACATTAGTAAATGTTCAGACATGTCTAGTTGTGGGCCACTTACAACTAATTGAGTAAATGGCTGCAATTGAGGCTGCAACTCCAATTTAACGGTCTCCATATTTGATGCCCAATTTTGTACCATAATGGTTTGTTGGTTCATTGGTAAAGCTAATGGGTCAGTTATAAACTCACTTGCTTCTCCAAATGATGGTAATGGTATATAAATAGGTTCGTGTTTATTACCCTTGTTATCCAAAACCTTTATCATAGCTGCCTGGGTTACTGATTTTTGATGAGTTTCTAATCCTTTTGGTTCATCAGTAATATCCAAAATTTTGGCTGAATAGTTTGTCATGTTTTGCTCACTTGAATTTTGATTTTCTTCTTTGTCCACCACTTCCAATATTTTGTTAACATTATTTGCTTCAAGTAATTTTTGTGTAGAGTTTATACCCTTTTGAACCATATCGGCAACCAACTGCTGAAGCCTATTGTTTGGCAGAATGTGAGGTTTTGGTGCTTCTGCTAGTGGCTCACATTGATGTACAAAGAAAGCATGAGGTTGCTTTGTATCTACTGCATGCAAATGATTAAAATTTATCTAAAAAGAAGAAAAAAGTTAGGTTTTACAACTAATCTTAGTTTTGTGGTCAAACCTTGACAACAACATTTAACCCGACCCGAATATGCTTATTTTTTCTTCTGGTTAAAGGGTTATCTGTTAATACTTTTACATCCAATGTGCCTCTGCATCTTCGAGCATCAAATAATAAATCTTTTTGGACTACTTTACCCCCATGGGTCCAACACTGGTACTGTTTTCGAAACCTAATTTTAGGACCTGTATTCGATATTTTTTTCGCCCACACTGTATTTGTAGCTTCTGAAAATAAATCAACCCATTCATCACACAGTTGATTGAAATCTTCATTGTCCCTAGGAATTTGTGTCCGAAATTTCGCTTCGAAATTTTTTTCGTCCGCCCACGAAGTTTGTATCATTTCATATTTTCGGTTAATTGTTTTCAATATATCATCGAACTCTTTTGTTGCCATTTTGAAATATTCTTGAATATTGACTAAACTTTCTAGAGGACATTCACACAACATTGGACCTAATGGTAACTGTAATTATGACCTAACGGTACTTTGGACATTTCGCAATAAATACAAAAATAAAACGCTTCTTCACCCTAATAGAGTGTAAAATATATTTTTATAAAAATTAAATTAGCGGAGATTTGGCTAAACTTGTTTATTTACAAAAAATATGAATTTTTATTTTACAAACCAGTGGTTGGGGAATAATGCACTGCCAACATAAGCAAACGTCAATAGTATATTTGTAAATTTAGCAAAACAAAACAATTTTGTTAAATATAATTTTATTTAAAATTATAAATTATTTTTATTTTAATTATAAATGTGTTTAAAAGCATTTAAAATAACAAAAAAATTAAAAAATTAAAAGAGTTTCCTGTAATTCTAGTAAATGAAGTTTAGCCAACGGTAGCTTCGCTTGATTGAAATGTGCATAAAAATAAACAAAAAACGGATAGCGTAATTTGACAATGGCACTGGATTTTACAAAATATGCGATCGATAAAATAGTGTTTAATTAGTTTAAAGCGTCATTGCAATGTAAACAAAGAAAACGGTGCTAATTTAGGTTTTGGGGTTATTTTTATAGGTTATTTGAGCTTGTTCCGGTATTTACATGATATAAACAGAAGTTATTTATAAACGAACATGAACCGGAGAAAAATGAAGAGGAAAAGCAGGGAAATCTGTACATCTCCCATATTGGATGACAGCCCTAAAAGGTAGGTTTTTTTAATCCTAATTTTATTATAATTACTAAAGTATACAACGTAGACTACGTTACGTAGTAGGTATGTACAATATACTTAAGTGTAAGATATGAAAGTTGCTCCTTTGATGTTCAAATATTAACCATATTTATTTACCTAAAACTATATTTACATATTAGGACCAAAGTTTTGAGATTCAGGGTACATACAAATAGGGCAGATGGCAGTATTTTAGGGGTTACCCACAATGTGGATTGTGGGGTTACCCTGCTTTTTAGGCTATCGCAATATAAGAACCCATAAATAGCAAAATTAAATACAGGGTAAACAAAACATTTTTATGTTTGCCTTACAAAACAAAGAGCTTTGGAAAGCTGGTTCATTGAACAAAAAATATAAATAAAAAAAGCAGGTTTTTGTCACAACTCTGTTTTAATTGTCTCTTGTAAAAAAATCTAAAACTCATATTTCTTTTGCTGGTAACCCTTAAATTAAGAAGTAGATGGTAAACCAGTATTGTTTTTTTACCTTATTTGTCAACTAAAGTGCTCAAACATTTTGATTTGATACACATGATAAAGGGTTTAATCATTGAACAATAATTATTACTTCCTTAAGTACTCAGAGTTAAATTTGAGCAAGGAAGAAATTGTTTAATCACTTTACTTGTGTTCATTTTCAACTCGTTCATTGGCAGTGATCACTTAGATAATAATAAAAATTTTGCAAAAATGCAGGGTTTTGTATAAATATCATGATATATAAGTATTGACGATATAATAATATTTCAAGGATATAATATTAAACCCAGCAAACTCCACTTGGGTAACATTTTTTTAAAATTAATAAATACGTTTCCTATTGAATTATTCTTTGAAAATTAATATGGTTAATAATATAAAGTGGAATATTTTTATTTAATTATTTTAACTGGATTACATTGATGAATATGATGAAATTTGCTAGTAAAAAATATTGGAGTTTGCTGTGTTTGATATTAGACCCCTGATAATTATTATATTATTATAGTATTCAATTTAAAAAAAAAATTGCAACCTGTATTTTAAGAAATTATTAAAGCATATATTTGTTTTAAAATTAGATGAATCACTTAAGTATTTAAAATATTTAAAAGTTTTACTATTTTATTTTGTTCCCCAAGTAATGACAATCCTCCAAAACCTGGTAAATGCAACATCCGAATGGTTCTCTAAATGGAGATTATCACCTAACCCCAATAAATCTCATCTCTTAATCTTCCACCACCACATAACCAACCAGTCCCCAAGAATTTATTTACAAGGGCATACTATTTACCCAGAAAGCTCCACCAATTACCTTGGTATACTCCTAGATCACAAAATAAACCTCCACACACAAATAACAAAAAAAAGAGCAATATTAAGGGCAAAACATTTCTCCGGATTAAGGGTCAACAACCTTATCAAAATCAATCAATCAAATCAAACTTATCTGTAGACCTGTCATTGAGTATGGGTTTCCATTATTCCTAAATTGCAAAACTCACGCTTTAAAAAACATTCAAGTTGCAGATACAGCCTCCCTAAGAAAAATCCGTCATCCCAACAATCCTCTCCATAACCCCCAATCCTATTCTTTATGAAAAATCTTAAATAACACCTATATTGGACAGAATACAAAACCTAGCTGCCAGATATAGAGAAAGGGACAAGTCCTCTGAAATTCTTTTGGAATTTTGTATTACAAGAGCAGAAAATGCAAGAAACGTATATCCGCATAAAACAACGTTGGAAATACTATTTAACGACGACTAGTATTACAATTACTATTATAAATGTATATTTTGTTTTTTTTGTTTTGTAAGAAAATTATATTCTTATTGTTAAAACAATATTAATATGTTATAAACCTATTATATTCTGGCTGAAGGACGTTAGCCAATTGCCCTTTGATGATTCAATAAAAAAACATTTATTATTATTATTTATTTTGTAAGAAAAATTTTAAAATCTTCGTATTTTCTAGAGGCATTTTTAAGGGCTGACAACAAATTATTTTTAGGAAAAAAAATTATGCAAGTGATTTTTAAGATATTTTATATATTTTAAACTACCTACCTCAAAACATTTTAATATTATAGCATTTATTTTCTCAAACCAAGTTAAAAGGAAATAATAATCTAATGATAAATTTTGTTTTAAACATGCTATAGTTTAGTTCCTGTATATAGGGGACGACTAAAACCCTGTATCTCAAAAATGAAGCAAAAAAATGTTTTGCTACTCTGACGAAATACCAACTCAGCTTATTTACCTAACACCCTGTATATTTTCATTTTAGGACCAAAGTGCATGCCCAGAGAAAATTTGCGCAAGGATCCAATGTCAATAGTCCTGTAATGACCCCAATAAAAGAATTGGAAAGTGAAAGGCCAATAAACGTTCTTCCAGAACCTGTTGAACTGTTACCTATAAAAAGGCCAAACACTGAAGACTTCTTAACTTTTCTGTGCTTCAGAGGTACCCCAATTTTGCCACAAAATCTAAACTTTTTTAACACAGCCTCAATTGTTGATACAAATGGCCAAGTGCATAAAATAAAAAGTGAAAGTCCCAAAAATGGACCAATTGATGCCCCAATATCAAAGTGTGGAAGCTCTTCAGAAAAGCCATTTATCGCCTTTGGTGTTCGTAAAAGGGCCGATCCTATAGTTATCAGTAAACAGATGGATAGAAAGAGAAGACATGCATTAGCTATACAAGCTCTGCGCAGAAAGTATCAGGAACAAAAAATGGCCAAAATAAGGGCATTGACAATAAGTAAGCTATCTGAAAAGGTTACCAATAAAACTTTAGTAAGAACCAACTCAATATCTAGAACTGAAACAGTAACTAAAAAGACAAATGCAGTTCAAAAATCACAGCAGAATGTAAAAGTTATTGCCACTAAACATGTAAAAGTCACTACCAGAACATTGAAAACAACCATAAGACCTAATATTAAACAGAAAATGTGTTTAAGAAGCTATAGAGGCAGGTTTGTGCAAAAAGAGTTACCATTTAAGAAAAAGGTTGGTTTAGATAAACCTGATAAACCAAACAAGAAAGCTGATAAAAATAAATCACCAAATAAAGAAGAAGAAGAAAGTAATTTTGAAACTGAAGAAGAATTGGAATCATCACCTGAAGTAGTGAAGAAACCTATAAAAAGATCCTTGATTTGTAAAACTATTCAGAAGACCATAATTTCAACACCACAAAAACTGCAATCTGGGTAAGTCCTAAATTTATGTATTGTATCCACATATTTCTAATGTTTCTAATAATAATTTAAAACATATTTTGTCCTATTTTATCAAATAAATTGTTCTGCAAAAATAATGTTGGATTTAGTTTTTGAAATTGGGAATTTTTAAGAATTTATATTGGCGATTTTTTTAAACAAAATCTAAGCACGGCACTGGATTCACTATACCTCAAAACGACCCTATACTAAATTTTATTGAAAAATTTAAAAAAAATGCACAATAACTACACCAATTTATTTTGTTAAGTTATCCATGAAAAAAATATTAAAATAAAATTAAACTAATAGTAACATGGTACTATTACTATAAGTTTAATTTTATTTCAATGTTTTTCATGGATAACTTGACAGAATAAATTTGTGTAAGTAGTTAGTATTGTGCATTTTTCTACTTAAAATTTTTCAATAAAATTTAGTAAAGGGTTGTTTTAAGGATTGGTGAATCCAGTGCCTTGCTTGGATTTTGTTTAAAAAAATCGCTAATGTGAATTCTTAAAAATTCACTCTTAAAAAATGACATAGTAGGCCTGGTATTTTGTACTAATATGGCGTCTTTTGCTCCAAAAATACAGTTTATCAAGATCTACACTTTAAAACAAATCCGGTTAAAATCGCACAGGTCTAATAATTATTTGTTAAATTTAAATCATTAATTTTATATAATTTGTTAATAATACCATTGTTTTTAGACCTCTAAATTTTAGAGTCCATAAACAATAATATAATTGTACCTATTTATACTAAAAATGCATAATTTAGTTAAATTATCAATATAAAATTTCAGCTCAAGAATGACAAGATCAGGTCACGTTTTTAACAACAAAGTTAACGCGAGAATTCAACAAATCAAAAAACGCATACTTTTAAACAATCCGACCACCAACACAACAGTAAAGCGGCGAGCTCTACGATCAACGACAATGAAGAAAACAGTAATATCGCGAAAAAGTCAGGTTTTAAGGACCAAGAAACATATTAGAAGAAGATCTAGGGAAGATAAGGAAGTTATGCAAACCAATAAGGAAATAAGAATTTCACCAGTCCCAACAAAAATTGATCCTAATAAGAAACATGTAATTTCCAAGAAGGAAAATAAAACGCCGATTAAGAAGGAGTCTATACCCGAAGGTAATGAAACAAAAAAAGCAAAGTTAAAATTAAAAAGTACACAAACTATCCAAAAAAAGGACCCAACACCAAAAATAGTTGATAAAAAAGATGAAGATAACAAAAATAATAAATCAGATAAAAATACTCCGGGAAAAAAGAGGAATGTTGATGCAAAGAATGACAAAGGTAAAAAATCAGCCATTCCAAAAGAACCAGTCCAAAAAAATATCATTAAAATAAAAAAAGAAGATACAATTAAAGAAAGTGAAAAGAGTAAAATAACAGAAAAGTCCGATAAGGAAATAAATAAAGTAAATATAGAAGTTAAAAAAGATAAAGATAGTGTAAAAGCTACCAACCCACAAGATACACAAGACAAGAAGCTTGTGGAAATTAAAGTAGAAACAGAAGTAACAGAAAAACCAGTTAATAATACTAAACCTAACAAATATATAGACAACATTAATAATTCTAAAGAAAATATTGTCCAACTGACAGAAAATACCAAACCTAAAGATAATATGAACAAATCAAAAGATAATATTAACAAACCTAAAGAATCTAAAACAATACAGGAAATAAAATCAAAGGATAAAGAAGTCGTTGTTAAGCAAGAGCCTAAACAGGACATACCTAAAAGAAAATCCGGCAAGGCAGAGGAGTTCCCTGAAACAAAATCTAGTAAGACTGAAGATCTATCTGTTCAAAAAACAACAAGGCCAACAAGAAAAACCAAAGAAGCCGCTACTATTTACATGGAAATTTTGAGTCACAAACTAGGAAACGATAGCAGAATAGACGACGACAATGTTTCAATAGATAGTTTTCCTGAATTGCCTAATGTGAAGAAAATGGAACAAAGAGAGAATGAGTTAAAGGCCAAAGCAAAATCAAAAGAAGATGATAAAGAGGAAGATAAATCACCGGAAAAAATTAAGAATAATTCTGTTAAGAAATTAGTGAAAAAAGTGGAGGAGGCAGCAAAACCAGAAACTGTTAGCGATGAAGATCAGGATAAAAAGATAATGATATCCAAAATTGTTAAAGATGAAATGCAGGCCGTTATGGGAGATTTAAAAAAGAATCTTAAAGTTGCCAAATCAAAGGAAAAACCCATTGAAATCAAACCATCACCCAGTAAGTCTATTCAAAAGAAAACCTCGTTGGGTAAAAGAAAATCCAACACGGATATAATAATTGACAATAAACTATCGTCAGATGATGAAGTTCTTAGTAATAAAATAAGAAAAACGGAGGAAATTAAAAAGAAAACAAAGGAAGTTGAACACTCAGACAAACCTGAGGAAAATGAAAAACGGCAAACGAGAAATTCCCAACCAAACAAAAGCCAAATTAGCGATGATTCTGATGAATCGTTTCATGCGGATGTTAAAGTATCCAGGAAAAAGAAACTAACTAGAAGTAAAGTACCCAAAGTCGCAAGTACAAGTTTTGAAGAAAAAGATGTTAGTGGCGAGTCTGATCAGTCTACTACATCGGATGTAGATTTAAACACATTAAAAAATAGACAAAAGAACAAAAAGTTCACCAAAACAAAATCGATGAAAAAATCCGACGGAAATTTTAGCGATTCTGATGAGGAACCATTGTCCAAGTTAACACATAAGAGCGTTGATGGTAGCCAGTGTTCAATTTTAACAAAGAAGTCCAAAACCAAAGTAGAAACTAAAAGTGATAATAAACCAAAGGAAGTCAAACGTGTTTCTAAAAAAGCAGTAGATAAAGTTGTGGTTGAGGAAGTGCCTAAAGTTAAGCCGAAAAGAGAATGCGCCAAAATCCCGCAGAATTATCTACCGATGTTTTCATCTTCTTCAGATGAGGAGTACTTCCATGGTTTTAGCCAAAAGCCAGAGGAAGAGACTTGTGATAAGGTCCTTCCAAAAATACTGGAGAAAACATACGCACATTTACCACCATCTTCCGATTTACTTAGCAAAGATATTAGTAGGAGATTTGGAAAGGAAAAAGTGAATATGTCAAATGAGCAAATAGAAAAATGGTTGAAAGATTCCGCAATGGCAGGTAGTAGCAGTATAAAAAAAGAAAACGACGAAATGCTTAAATTTGGAGAAATAATACCTACAGAAACAACGCTAGAATTACAAGAAAACATCGACACTCACAAATTAAAATCTTCTCTGCTTCCTGATAAAAACGAAGTAAAGCCAGAATCCAAAGTATGTGAAGCAACAAGTTCATGTGTGACAACTCCAGAAAAAGTTTTAAAACCGGATACACCTTCTAAGATTCCATTGGATAGGAAGTTGATATTCAGAAAAGACAAAAAAGAATCAGCTCCAAATATAAACGCTTTTTCGCCAGAAAATGAAAGTAGTGTATACGCATTTGGAGAAGACACCGAACCTATTTTGAGCACTCCTTTTAGAAGACCTTCTAGAAGACCTTCTAGTACTGCCACATCAAGATCAGAAGATGAATCTGGGAAATTGGATGAACTTATAAAATCAGGTAGGAATATTATAAATTTAGAATATTATAAATTTTGTCTTTAATAAAATCTGACCTAACAAATATTTTTGGGTAATTAAACTTTCAATTTAGATTTATTTAAAGGTGACTTAATTTTCTAGGAGTTTTTATAACGGCGTTCAAGAATCCAAACATTGAAGAATTGAAATTGCAGACGCCTAAGAGTAGTCGCAAATATCTACGTAGTCGACGACTTGTAAAATCTTCCGAAATTGTTAAAAAATTTAAAAAACTAATATAAGTTACAGATCCTTTAACCATAATATTTTTAGTTTAAATTGCAACCACAAAGGTGATATTAACAGTGATATTAAGTGCAATAATAACGTTTATCCTATAACTTTTTTAGAAATAAAAAATATTAATTATAATGTTTGGTGTAAACAAAGGTGTAAACATTATTTAAATATACATTTTTATCCTTACCGACACTTTGGTTATTATTATTTTAAAAAGTATAAAATAAATTGTTTACATAATTTTAAATAATTGAATAACTAACAAAATACCTAATACTATAATAGTAATTATTACACATGTATTTTTTTGTGATAAAAAATTAAATAAATGTATATTTTTATTTTTGTGACTATTATTTTAAATATTTTTATATAATTGTTCTCTAGGTAATTATTATATTGGTCAGATTTTATTAAAGAAGCTAACTAATTTGTGTGTTAGGAATGTGGATACACTTTATATAGTAATTCCTTAAAATAAATATAAACATAATATTCATAAAAACGCCAACTCTTTATGGTTATGGTTAAGGTTTAGGTTTGTTTTACACACCCTTACGAGTCAAATTAAATTGACTTAATATTGTTTATTAACAGTTGAAAGAAATCTATACGCCAAAGTATCGCTAGTAGCGCCACCACTCGGCTGTTATCATCGTAACAAAAGTAGAACTTTTGATAATCAGCTGTCAAACGCGTGTGTTACAAACGAGTGTTTTTAAGAATAAAGCCGGAAAATATCGAGAAAAAAAACGTGGAACGATGATAGTGGTCGTAGAAGAACATCTTTATTTATTATAGAATGGTCCATAACATTTTCGTCTTAAACATATTTCGGTTTATCCATACACCAAACAAACTTTGCATAACCCCACAAGAAGTACTCGAAGTTTTCTTGGTCCGGATCAATGTCGTCTATATATGGACGACATTGGTCCGATCATATATGATCGAAGAAATGATCTTCCTTCGGACGTTGGTCATTGACTGTAACGCAAAAAACATACCAAATTTTTGTGTTTGTTTGTAATTGAATATTATTCTATTTCGGCTTTGCCTTATGCCGTACAGTGTATGTGGTAAAAAATTTATCCACAATTACGTAATATTCTAAGCGTTTTTCGAATTAAAGACCAATTTTAAAAATAAGTTTTAAAAGACACAGAAGCCCTCTTCTGCTGTGTTCATAATAATTTGTCAAAATGTAACGAACATACATGTCAAAATATTGTCAAAAATTACAGCACAGCTTGAAAGTTAGTCCTGTAGAAAGATATAGAAGTCTTAAACAAAATGTTGAATACATCGATTTATAAGGACTTTTTAAAACAAAAAGTTTAAATTTGTTAATAATAGCAATGTTTCATTATTTTAAGTTTTCATTTTTTGAAAATCTGTATACCATGTAAGCTAGCTGTAGCTTTCTTGTTTAGATGGGTGATATTCAGCATAGTAAGAAGTCAACGTTGCCAAGATTTTTAAACCTAAACTCCTTATCAGTTTTTTTTTATTCTTTTATATTTAAAATATCCCCTGTAGCATGGCGTCAGCGCGCTATTTTCGGGATATATTAAAATCATTTACACTAAAATCATTTACACTAAACATACATTTCAATAAAACTCAATAAAACTCAAAAGTCAAGTACAATCTGAGATTGTTAAACTCGATAAAGTTCATACTAACGATATTCATATTAGTGAAGGCGCAAGAACTGTAACAATTGAATGCTGTACTGGAACAACGTTGTAAGTGCCATGGCAAAGTGCTACATTTTGGTCGAATAATTGTGTGTGCATTTTTACAAATACCCTGACCATTTTTTCAAATTTTCCTGACCAACTAGTTAACTATGTTTTATTTAAAGTTTTTTTAAATTTTTTCAAAAAATAATGTAAATAATTTTATTTTTCACTTGGCTGTTATTTTTTCATAACGCCTTCGATTCGAGATATGTAAATGCATTCATAACAACCGATGCGTAATAAGAGGGCGTAAAGGATTTATTACGCCCTCAGAAAATAACATTATTTTTTAGTTTAATTTGAAGTGAAAAATTGCTATTTATGCCCCAAAGGTGTTATTAAGATGATTACGCCCGGAGAGCGACACCTAATAAACTCATTACAAAAAATAACAAAATATGAAGGTTATAAAATGATGTAGTATTTATGGTATTTATGCACCAATGGTGTTATTAAGATTATTACGCCCGAAGAGAGACACCCAGCCCGAGGGATAGATGTCGCTTGATGGGCGTAATCATCTAGTAACGCCAGTGGTGCATACATTTATGTAAAGGGTGTTTTTAGAGGTATAGAACTTTTTTTTTTAATAAAACAGAAAAACGTATAAAATGACTAATATTTTGGCTTTATTAGTTCGAAAAATTTTATGGCATTTAGTGCTTGGGCATATGGCCACCACGACTGCGTCTTATAAAGGCCATCCTATTGGTCCAATTTTGCACTACTTTTTCCAACATTGCCGGCCTTATTTCGTCAATGTGTCGAATATTCATGATGCAATCTAACGATGTACAGTCGGGTGCTTCTGACTGGTTCTATGAGAACAAATTAACCTTAAATGACAACAAAACAGTTCATATGCATTTCTCTCTTAACAAAAAAACTACAGACAAGTTTAAATTTAGCGATAGCGAAATTTTTGGGAGTTGTGATTGATTCAAAGCTTAAATGGGATGCCCATATTGACTCTGTTTCCAGTAAGCTCACAAAAAACATATACCTCCTGAGAAACCTGGCAAGATCGGTTTCCCTGCAAACACTTAAGGCGGCCTATTTCTCTCTCTGCCACAGCCTGATTTCATACTCAATTCCGGTTTGGGGGCAGGCGGCAGAGTGGGGTAGAGTGTTTGCTTTACAACGCAAGGCAATACGTGTTGTTGGTGGATTAGGGTACACTGAATACTGCAGGTCCAAATTTTCGGAACTGAACATACTTACCCTTCCGGGAATATATATTTAGGAAGTATTGGTTTTCGCAAAAACCAACCTTGACAGTTTCAGTGTGCACGAACATCACTACAACACAAGAACAAAAAACAACTTAATTTTGCCAGGTTTTAGGCTGTCTAAATCGCAAAAGACATTAAAATTTCTTGCTCCTAAATATTATAACAAATTACCTGAAACAATAAAAAAACTAAAACCAAACTCATACAAAGCTTTACTAAAATCATTTTTGATTTCAAAGTCTTTCTATTCATATGATGAATTCCTAAACTGTGATATGACTGTGATATAATATTATTGTAACTTGTATTATGTACCCTTAATTTTTTACCCAAATTGTACCAGTCTTTATTTCTACGTACCTTTATGTTTATATTAGTGACAATTGTAAATACTATGTATGTTAACAAGAAATAAATTTATTATTATTATTATTATTATATTGGCTTCCAAGTCTTCAACTGTAGCTGGCTTATTAGCATAGACCAGTGATTTGACATACCCCACAAAAAGTAGTTCAAAGGAGTCAAATCACATGACCTAGGCGTCCAATGGACAGGTCCATTTCTTGAGATGATCGTTTGTCCTAATAAAGTGGTGGTTTCACGCGCCGTATGGCTATATAAATATAGAACTGTATAGGATGACTCCCCGTTTGAATACTAAATCTTAAAGTTTTATCAGAACTGTATTGAATCGTGCTTTGTTTTTATATTTTTCGCCTCTATATAATTTATAAGGAAATGGGAGTACTTAACTTTGACCAGCTCTATGCTTTAAATGTTTCAAAATTTGTTTACAAAAGTCCTGAACTCAGAAATAGTACAACATACATATAATACTAGACATGAATTTTTGCAAATTCCAAGGATACCGTTAACATCTTTTGAAAAATCAATTCTTTTTAAAGGTCCAAAAATATTCGGTATTTTGCCACAGAACCTCAGATCCCTGAACTCATTTGGTTTATTTTGTAAAAAACTAAAAAATTTTATAGGTGAAAATGAACAATTAATAAAACAAATACTTAATAATACTTAATACTTACATATTAACCATTATTATTGATATGGCTCTTTTCTTCTTATTTAAATTTCTATAATAAAATTTAATTTATATTATAATTTAATAGTTACGAATAACGTAATAAATTTTTCGATGTTTAATTTCAAATTTAAATCATGTTTATTTTTGTTTTTTTTTATAAAGTTTTCTTTTTTTATAGAAATTACTACTATGTTTTTGTTAGATAATTTATAAGTAATTTATTTTGTTATACATACCTTAAAAACAAATATATTAAAATATCAAGCACATCATGATATCCTCCGAGAAATCAGGTGCACTCAATAAAATTTATTTGTTATATTATTTATTAATTTTGTAATTTTTGCTGAATAAATTTATCTTTATCTTTATAAATATGCACGACTATATTTAAAGTCAAACTCTATGGTGTCTTACAAGATACATTATTTTTATTTTCTAAATTCAACAGAGAGGTAGAAATTCGTCCCAGTCGAATGGTGCAGTCATTTATGTCTCTAGAAATTATTCAGTCCAATGGTGCAGCAACTTCGGATTTCTATTCTCTTCAGAAACATAGAAACTCAAGCTTTTCGAATTTTACTGGCAATGATTTTCGTTAATGTCCCGGGAATTATACAAAAACAGCGCAATCCAATATCGCAACGGTTTCGACTTCTGTAGAAACTGGAGTCTAATACTGTTCTAGTCAATATTTCTGAGAGGATAAAAAGAGGGT